TGTATGTCGCAGTAAGATTGATAAACCTGATATAGTTATTTCCTTAACATATAATCATATATGTCGAATAAATGCATTTTCTTTCTTTCTTTCTTCTTTCTTTATACCGTAACATAATTATACGAAAGCGATTCATTACTATCTTACTAAGAATTTGGCTATAAAACTGTAGAGGTTTAGTGATATACATATATTACTAAGGTACACTAGTAATATATGTATATCACTAAACCTCTAGTAAAATAGTGGAAAAATTATGTAAGCATTGCACTCGAGCAAAGCCGATTTCCATAAAGTAGTTACAAAATAAATGAGTTAAGATCTTAATATTAATTAGAAAATGCGTGATAATCACTGATTATTCATTCGTTTTGTACCAAGTAATTGGTCATAAATAAACCAGATTACTACTAAAAGCTAATAGTAATTCAAGTGGGTGTACTATTTGTGTACTTCTGCCTACGCTCGAACAAATTACAGGTGTGAGTCTAAACCTCAGGACTCATAGATGTTAGCTAACAAAACTTTGAATAGAAGTTAATTTTGAATGTAGTACTTAAGTTATTTCTAGCTCAGTTTAACTTAGTCAGGGATTCAGACAGAACTGGCACTAAATTGTTTACCGTGTTACTGAATTAGCCGAGAAAAACTGTTTATTGTCGAGTATTTTTGATTAATTTTGCATAAAGTGTGGGACAGTCATGCTTCGGCCTTACAGAAAACCGACGTCAAACAAACACAGCGTTGTGTTTCATTAAGTGAGTGAGGTTACTGGAGACTCCATCGTTCCCCTCCCCTAATCCCTAAATCTCCAAAACCCCAACCAAAAGTTCAACACCGCCCTCGTAACTCCTCCTTTTATGCGAAAATCCTCCCGTAGGTACCTATGATGAAAATAACTCTTCATATCTCTTCTGAACATTGTCAAATAGCACATTAGGACATAATATATAGGTTTTGAAAGTGATGAATAAATATAATGGTTGGCAGTGCTTGGTATGAATATCTTGGATTGAGCTACGTAGCCTGTTATTTGTAATAGGAGATTTTTTTTTAAACGATCCGTTGTCCCATTCTGTGGATTTCTCCTCTGTCGTGGATGAGTTTACATCCATACAATTGCACATACACCTAACACCTAGACCCGGAACAACAATTTATGTATCATACAAAGAGTTGTTCGTGCGAAAATCGAATCTTCGACTCGTTGCACGGCAACCAGTTGTCCAGGAGCGCGTCAACCGTGCAGTCGATAGGACCGGACTCGAGTTAATAGCAGTGGATTGGATCATTCAATTCTAAAATTCTCCCATTTTTTTATATAATAGGTCGGCAAACAAGCAGACGGATTACCTGGTGGTAAGCAATCAGCGCCGCCCATGAACATCCGCAACGGAGGAGTTACGAGTGAGTTGCCGACCTTTTAGGGATTAGGGATTTGGATATTAAGGAGGATTGGGGAGATATTTCGAGAGGAGAAGATTTGGGCCTCCGGCTCACTCACACGGCGAAACACAATGCTATGGTTGTTTCACGCCGTTTTTCTGTGAAGCCGTGGTATCACATCGGTCGCGCCGACCCATTCGTGCCGAATTATGGCTCTCCTACACTTAATAAAACACCACATCATAAATTGCTGATAATCATTGGATGGTTCGAGTATTAATAAAGAGGATTAAATTAAATAATAATATTAGTTCTACTCTTGTTATACATATTGTTATACCACGCTTTATGTATTTTTATTTTTAACTTTATTTTTATTATCTTGTTGGTTTTGCGTCTTTTATGCGTCCCAGGCGTCAATAAATACTTTTTGTTTGTTTGTTATATCAAAACGTTCAACTTTAGTTGTAGTAGTTTGTCGTATGTACGCGTTTGTCAACCCCTTTATGAGAAGACAGGCGTAGTGTCACGTTATCTTTGTAACATGTTTGTTACTCTATACATATTCATACACCGGTCGACCACCTTCCATTAAATGGTGAAACGAAATTGTCTCTTTGATGGCAACACCGACAGCTATTAATTCCGCTATTGGTCTCGATATGGCAACACTGTTGTCATTAGCTGGATCAATGGAGCTATTTGTGACGCGGGTAAATTCATTGTGCATTAACATTTAGTTGTAAAATGTTACTCTATTGTTCTTGTTGATTTTTCTAAAGGTTTAGGCAGAGTACTTTTTATCCTAAAGATACTTTTACGCCTGGTTTTCGAAAGGCCGATCAACGTTAAAATCAATTTAATCTCTTGTCAAGTCATCTGATTGGTTGACTGAATTATCAACAACCAATCAGATGACATAATGTAAGGAAATTAGAAACATGTGAAGTATTATAAAAAATAATGTATCTAATTTTGTTGTTAGTATTTCCTGAAATTTTCTTTATTGTACAGTACATTTTTCTTTGACGTATTTTTTTTTGTTACTGTTATTTCTTGTTTTTTTAAACTATGTTGGTGCGCCCTAACAGCGTCCATGAATGTACTGTAGCTTTCAGCCTTGTACACCTACCACCTTAAAAACACTTTGTGTAATGCAAAAAAAATGATATGATATGATATCTTTTATTCTGTATCAGAAGTTTGAAATGATTCTATAGCATTTTTCTTACAATTTATTTATGTTTTCTCTTGGCCTCTTTTAACAATATTTGAATCTGATTCTTCGTCCATATTTCCAGATACCGTGCTTTTATAAAAAATCTATTCTAAGTTCAGCTAAAATCAAAAAACTCTAAACCTAGGAATCCGACTACATTTTTCTGGGAGAACGAACAAGACCTTGGCAGATAAAATCGATCTAGAATTTAGCTAGGGCTGGGTATCAGACCGTAAAATCCTCATTAAATCACTTAGAAAAATACTAAACTTAGGTATAGGCAAATAGGGTTAGCACCTTATCAGACAATGATTTATTCTTAAACTTGAAAAATGTTTTAGCCAGTGTATTTTAACTGTTCATGCAAAATTAAACCCTAATGCAATACCCTAATTCGTCGGCAAACGAGCAGACGGATTGCCTGGAGTTACGAGTGTGTTGCCGAGCTTTTGGGGATTTAGGGTTTTGGAGATTTAGGGTTTGGGTAAGGATTGGGCTTCCGTTAACCTTACTCCCACGGCAAAACACAATGCTGTAGTAGTTTCACGCCGGTTTTCTGTGAGGGTGTGATATCACTCCGGTCGAGCCGACCCATTCATGCCGAAGCATGGCTCTTCCACACTTAAATATTATAAATAGGGGAATAGAAAACTTTCTGCTCTTGCAAGCACGCGACGAGCTCAGTGAAGTGAAAAATTTTGCTAAACGAACGGTTTGTGATCGAGGGATGCAGATAGTTAAAGTTTCATAAATATGTATGTATGTGAACATTTATAAATAAACTGGATTTTGCCCGAGACTCCATTCGCGTGGGATAGTTACTTCCTAAAGATTTTTAATATAACAACTATCCTATGTCCATTCTCGTGTTGCAAACTATGTCTGTACCAAACTTCACAGAAATCGGCTCAGTAGTTTCATCCTCATCAGCCTATAAGTGCCCACTACTGAGCAAAGGCCTCTTCTCATACGGAGAAGGTTAGAGCATTAATCACCACGCTTGCTCAATGCGGGTTGGCGATTTCAAACTTATAATTAGAAATTATAAGTCCAGGTTTCCTCACGATGTTTACCTTCACCGTATGTCAGTGGTGTCTAAATAATTATAGAAAGTACATATAACTCGGAAAAAGTCACATTGGTACTTGCCGGGTTTCAAACCCACACGCTCATGCATGAGAAGCGGGCTCCTTAACCTCCGGGCCACCACGACATTTTAAAGGTTCTCAGTAGTTTAGGCGTGAAGAAAAAGAAGACAGACAGAAAGAGTTACTTTCTTATTTATAATATTAGTTTTTTTGATATCTGAAATGATTTACTCGTATTCTCTTGGTTAGACAATGTATTATTGTGTCTCATCACAGTATAAGGTTCTTAAGACAAGACGCGTCGAACAAAACCATAACAGTGGAACTTGAATTCTATCTTGTAATATATAGAGTGCATTTTTATATTTATTAGCTAGTTTCAAAGATGCTAGCGGCGGCGGACCGCTTGATGGTATAAGCTACGGTAAAGGTTACTGACCATCTATAAAACAGTTTAATTTAAATCCCAGGTCTGCGAAAACGCAGATTTAAACAAAATAATACATTTTCTAATTACGCCTCTCATATGACCGCAGACGAAAGGTTAATCCGAGGCTGAGAAACAAAAATATATATACAGATATAACAGAATTTAAATTTAAATTTAATTTGCAAAAATCTGTCTCAATCAGGTCTAGGAGAACTCTCAAAGAATGAATAAATAAATATGTAAAATTCAGTAAATGTTTAGTTTGTAATTCAGTAACATTTCATTTAATACAAGCTTTTTAGGACTGCAAGTTTGCACTTAAGATTACTTGTAATTTATTTATAAACATAAATTAAAATAGTACTTTAAGATTTTAAATCTGTGTCACTAGTCATTAAGATGTAAAGAAAGAAAATGATATTTACATTAGAATTGAACATCGCATCACATCATCAGCTTCTAAGTGCCCACTGCTGAGCAAAGGCCTCTTCTCACACCAAGAAGGTATGAACATATTGTATACATCACGTTTGTTCAAGGCCGATTGGTCATTTCACACTTATTACAAATTACAAGTCCAGGTTTTCTAACGATGTTTCCTTTTCCGCATGTCAGTGGCGTCTAAATAATCATAGAATATCTCGAAAAAAGTCACTTTTAGAACTTGCCAGGTTTTGAGCTTGCACTCTTATGCATGAGAAGCTTAACCTCTTGGTCCACCACGTCATGTATATTATATATATTATATGTATATTCAATGTAGGAAATTAATAAAAAAATAATTGATTCATCAAACTCTAAGCGAACGCTCGCGCACCTATTTTGTTTCGAACTACCACCGCCTGACGCAAGTAGGTTCCTGTTTCAGAACTCCGCCTTAGTCGAGGCCATGGCGCGGAGCGAGAGGTATTGGGAAGTCATCTCCTCTTTCTGTGAAGCAGTAATACTCGCAAAGAAGGAGACAGCCTAGAGCAGGAGAAGGAACGGGGGCGTTTTCAGTCAGTAAGAGTTTGACACTTCCTCTCGACTCACCCTGGGCGGGAGAAGTCATTCGACTTTTCCCTGACAAAAAAAAGGTAACAACAAACTAACAATACGTTTACTATTTTTATATATATGCATAAGGTATATTTTTTTTATTTCGTTTCAATGAATTCTAAATACTAATCCAACAGAAAAGGAAGGATAACATTCATGAAAAATAATTTTTCACCATTGCTTTTTAGAGGGTCTACGTTCGAAACGGTACCTTAATGCTTTCTGAATTAAGCTGAAAGTTCTGAAAGTCTGAAGAAAATGCTATTGAATGAAATATTTGATGTGTTTATGAAACATTCGTCTTCACAATGCGTTGAATAAATAATTTAGGTCTCAGGCGAGATCCACACGTATTTTTATTATGTTCGGCAGTTGTTTTTGTAAACTAGGTCTTGGCTGTGGTTTCGCTTGCAATAAAGTACTGAAAATAATGTGTTTCGGGTAGTTAGTTTTAAGTGTAGGAGAGCCGTGCTTCGGCACGAATGGGTCGGCTCGACCGGAGTGATACCACGGCCTCACAGAAAACCGGCGTGAAATAACCACAGCGTTGTGTTTCGCTGTGTGAGTGAGGTTACCGGAGGCCCAATCCTTCCCGTCCCCCAATCCCTCCTCAATCCCTAAATGTCCAAATCCCTAATCCCTAAAAGGTCGGCAACGCACTCGTAACTACTCCGTTGCGAGTGTCCATGGGCGGCGCTGATTGCTTACCATCAGGTAATCCGTATGCTCGTTTGCCGATCGTTTACATTAAAAAAAGTTACGTTTCATTTAAGTAAACTAACAAATATGTGTTTTGAAACTTGATAAATTTGTAAATTGTGATACACTCAACTATTACAATTAATAAGACCAACGGAATGTAAGTACTAACTAAAACGGAAGGTAATTTTATTGGAATGCATGAGAAACCGCGAGAGTTAATTATAAATGTTGTTAATTTTTCTTGTCTCACATTGTACTGGATCTAATCCGTATTAACATAAATAAATAAAGGTCGTTTTGGCGACGATATAGGCACTGAATTGCTCGATTCCCTAAAATACAATGGTTGAATTGGGCGGTGCTGGTATACGTGTCATGTTCGTGGACGGGCGCCATCAGTTGGTATTGGTCTGCTCCAAACTGTCCAAATAATAATATAATAATATTAATGTTACAGTGTCCTCACATACACAATAGAACCTACTTAATAATTTAACAAAGAATCTGTTTGTGAAACTGATTGAAAGAGACTACAAACAACAGTCATAATTTCATATTTCAAATAATTAGCCTATGAGTGCGTTGGCGATTAGATAGGCAAAGACTTTTTCTCACACAAATAATGTAAAACTTTAACCACTGCGCTTGCTCAAGGCAATTGGTGATGCCAAACTTATAAATTAGTAATAATAATCGGTTCAAAATAATAAGTCCAGATTTCCTTCACCGTTTGTCCGTGGTGTCTAAACAATCTTACGTACATAGAACTCGGAAAATGCCAAATTTGTACTAGCAAGGTTTCAAATCCGCAAGCAGAGGAATCGGACAGGTCTGCGGACGGCGAATAAGGGTAGCTCGCCGCCCGACTAGAACCAGACCCGAGCGAGCGGCGCATAGAGACAATAGACCATCACAGACGGGGCCCTATAGGGCTGATGTTCGCTTTGCTGAGGCACCGTGGCTTCGGCACAGATAATCGGACGTCTTAACAACATGCCCATGTCAACAAGGACCACGAAAACAACATTTCCTATTTAAAAAAATCTAAAATAAAATGGTGTCAGTACAATTTTTGGCCGTTTTCTTTTGCTTTTGCCGTCGTCTATGTAATCCAAGAGCTCGTCGCGGGTATTTTTACACTGTAACACAATATTAATTAGTTGTATATTTAAAACTTTAAAGGACAGCCTTCGCAGTAATTTAAAACAAAGTCCATTAGACTTTTTGTAAGGGGTTTTCTTTTCTTTTGAGATTTAGGTTTTCATATAAAAATGGTATTTTCAAACTTGTAATTATCTACGTAAGTCGTAGTTTTGCTTGTTATTATCCAAAAAAATCTATCTAAATTACTTGCTTTGGGCTTTAGCACGAATGGGCTGGCTTGACCATTGATACTGCTGCATTACAACAATAATTCAAATCAATAATCCCCCGGAAATAATATAATTGTTTTTTATTCATTATTCAATAAGATTAAAATTAATAAAACAAACATAATAATTTTTATTATGTTTGTTTTATATTTTATTAAAGTCTTATGGAATTTCTGATGCACATTGTTATTAGAGGGCTTCCGCACTATGTCCGATCCGAATCGGATCTGTATCAAAGTCAGACAGAATTGATAGCCACCAAGCGGCGCCATCCATATGCACTCGCAACACCAGAATAGTTCAAGTGCCTTGTTGGCCTACCAAAGACTGCGCAGTTGTCGTGGTAGCTGGGAAAACGACGGGTTCGATTCCCAAACGCAACAACTCTTTGTATGATCCACAAATTGTTGTTTCGAGCCCAGGTGTTTTGTGCATGTGAAATTATGTTTTTTAAACGTGTTTACAAAATATTAGGAAATCATAATGTGATATATCAATTTCTTAAGAGCCTCATCTAATAGGTGAAAACTTGATACTACTGCCTGTCAAGAAGCTATTAAAAACAGTGAATCAAAACGATTACGAGTTGAATTAAATTCGCATTTCATTATCATTTACCACATAAAAACTCAGAACTATCATAAAAATAGAAAAACTAACACAGTCGTGTGTATTCGTAAAACGCTACGTACGTACGAATAGTACGCAGAAATTCCTACGCAATGCTACGCAACACTACGCACCGCGCGTAATACGCTCGCTCAGTAGTGACGTACGTTTAACAATATATAAGAGAATGAGAAGCGATTACTACGAATATATACAATAAAAACATTAAAAAACACATAGGTATTTAGGTCAGACTGGGTCAAGTGGAAATGTAAACATTAACTTTTTTTTTGTTTTATAACTGCAAAAGCGATTGTTGTTCTAGATTTTTTTAATTTGAATCATGGAAAGAATTACTAGTGCAGGACATTTTTGTGTTTTTGTCTTCTTAATTATTATCAGCACTTCCCTGATCCCCAATCCTCAATCTCTAAATCCCCAATCTCCAAATCCGAAACCCTGAAAAGGGCCGGTAACGCACTTTGACTCTTCTCTTTTCTATCGGTTGTTTTTTTTTTCTCAATTTTCACCCGATTATATAAAGTTAGGTTAGTTTGGTATATCAGAATCCTACTTATATTATTAAATGTGAATGTAGAAGTATTAATACGTATTTACGATTTCAAACTTCAGCATGTATGTTAAACACACATACCACATCGCACATCATCAGCGTATTAACGGCCACTGCTGAGTAACAATCTCTTCTCTCACAAAAAGGTACGACCATTAATCACCACGCTTGAACGTGGATTGGTGGTTTCAAACTTATAATAAGAAATTATAAGTACAGGTTTTCTCAGACTCACCGTAACTGATATCATTTTTTTTTAAATAGGTGTATACCTATAATGTAATATACCTATATATGTATCATTCGTGAAAAACACTATGTGGTACCACCATTCTTGAAAAATGAATTACATTTATAAAGACAAAGTACACATATAAAAAATCTCTCACACAATAAATAAATTTGAATTCCATACAGTATATATACTCAACGAGTGGATTGTTGAGTGCCTTTCGTGAAATATACAAAAATACGTGTCTATGACGTCTTCGCCGGGTTTAGATTGTGTGTGGGCATCGTTGTAACTGGTCTGACCGGGATACCGAATCTACTTATAATAACAATACTTACTTATTTCCCCAAAGAGTACACATATGTCAAATAATCTTTCGATAGAACTAAAATGAATTTTAAGTGTGGGAGAGCCAAGCTTCGGCACGAATGGGTCGGCTCGACCGGAGTGATACCACGGCCTCACAGAATACCGGCGTGCAACAACCCACAGCGTTGTGTTTCGCCGTGTGAGTGAGGTTACCGGAGGCCCAATCCCTCCCCTTCCCCTATCCCTTCCCAATCCTTATATCCGCAACCCCCATCCCCAAAAGGCCGGCAACGCACTCGTAACTCCTTTGGTGTTGCAGGTGTCTATCGACGGCGCCGATTGCTTACCATCAGGTAATCCGTCTGCTCGTTTGCCGACTTATACCACAAAAAAAACTTGCTCTTTTTTCCATAGAATTTACATTTTGGAATGAGAACCTGAACACAGAATTACTGATGGACAGACTGAATGATTATTGTTCCGTTTTTTGACGTTTTAAAGGTAACCCATAAGTCAATGCTTTGGTTAAAATAAATGTTTTTGGCTTTTGAATTTGACCTTGACTTCGTTTGTTGTTTTTTTGTAAGTATACAAATTACGATTATGTAATATGTTAAAGCCATCTGTTACATTTATACTATGACATTGTAACTATGTGATTTAAAAAACTTTAGTATAATTCCAAATTCTCTATTTACTACAGTTTACTAAATAAATAAAACCGAAAATAAATAGTTTCACAATATCCAATTATTTTTTATATTTATATCTAAATTGGTATCCACCCGGAAATTTTAAACAATATAACATTACGCTTATACTAATATGGTAGCTGTATTTATTAAGAAGAATAAAGACTTACTGAAGCGTACCAAAGACATGATAGCACGTATGATTGAGTCCCGTTGTGACTTGTGACTTGTGTAGTAGAGTTTTTTTTAAGGATTCTCGTAAGTTTTCTTTTTTTTTTAAATACAAAAACGAATTCCTGTTCTTTAGTCTCGCTAAAACTCGAGAACGAATGTTGCGTCTTGGATAATTTTGGTCTTAATATATTCGCTGATGTTCAGGGAAGGTTTAGCATATCTTAACTATCTATAACTTTACACAGTCAGTTTACACAACTTTTTATTCTAACTCTCCCATAACGGGCCCGCTGGAAGAGATTTCTGAAGAAATAAGCTGTGCCTTTGTACCTAATTGTTGTATTATTTTTCTTGTCCAA